TGGACAGGAGAGTAGTGGCCAGAATGACACAGAGCAGGAGACGAAGCTCGCGCAGCACCTCGAGGAGCCGTCGGCCGACACCCCGAAGCCGCTGGAGGACCAGTCGAAGGGCCCAGAACACATGGCTGCGCCATCGTGCACGCAGCAGCCAAACCCGCCGAAGAACCACGAGCCGACGATCCCGAAGATGCCAGAGCAGCAGCGCGAGCAAACATCGATGTTGACGCAGGGTGGAGCAACGGCCGAGACACCCGAGCTCAGCGATCATGAGATGATTAACTTGGCGTTCTGGCTGAAATTTGATCGCTTCAGGGACTGAAGCGCTGCCCGTGCACGCAGGTGCAACAAGTTCCTCCACTGCGGTCGGGCAGCGTCATCATTTTTAACCAGATACCCCAGCGCTATGACATGGAGGGGGGCGAGTTGTGATTCAAATCAACATAATACCCGCTCTGACTGCACTGGAGGAACTTTCATTCATTTTCTTATTCGTGGGAAGCCAACGCAATGCACTCGCAGTGGACGGAGTGCACGTTGACGGGAAGTTAAGCATCATGTTGTGCTTGTGAATTTCGCATCAGCATCATCATCATCAGCAGCATCACCAACAACATCATCAGCGTCATCTCGGTAATCATCACCAGCATCATCAGTCTGGGCATCAACATCATCATCTGCATCGTCATCATCTCCAACCCTGTCACCACCATGTGTAATCGTACTCGGTTTTAAGTTGTCAGGGCAGCTGCCTTTCGGAATGATGACGTGCGTACGCATCATATTTCTGGGGCTGTCCGAATCGCGGTGGCCCTGGACCGTGTCGAATGGAGGCTTGACGATGTGCGCCTGACTTGCGGAGTGAGAGGGCGGACATATGACGGGGGACGGCGGAATCGGGGGATGAATACGAAGAGGGACGTTGACATAAGATGATGGACTGACTAGGAAAAAGGGAGGGAGGCGAAGGACAATGACCGAAGGAGGCAAGAGGGCTGAGGAGCCAGTGGGAGAGTGAGGATGAGGCAACCTCCCGTCAGACGGGGCCCCCTCCCGCCACCGCGCCAGGACGTCTGCCAGTGGCCGATGAAGACCCCCGCCACGGTCAAGAGCACCGCGAAGAAGAACGTGCATGATCAAGACACCACGCCGCCCAAGAATGGCGCCAAGGACCCGTCCCGTCTACTGGCCATGGCAAAGATGGCAGACCAGATGCCGACGAGGAAGGCGCGGGGCATGTTCTTTGAATGGGACAGCAACTGTGGTCATGGGATGTTGTTGCTATCCGTGTCTGCTCGTTCGGTCGTGGGCCCAGCTCAAGTGCGCTGCTGGTTCGTTCGGAAAGCGTAGGTAGGGTGGCGAACTGGTACGTGCAATGGCTGATTGGATTGGCCGATGGGCGTTCCAGATTGGGTTAGTTGCGCCCGTGGGACCCCAGCTCATTCGGAGACCGTTTCAGATTCGACCGACGATGCAGACCAGTGATAGGATAGCAGCGGTGGGGAGGGCGATGATGAGGAGGATGATACTGCTGAGTATAGTGGTGGTTATGAAGATGATGATGATGATGATGATGATGATGATGCTGCTGATGATGATGATGGCGATGATAAGGATGATGACAATGCTGATGATGATGATGTTGACGATGATTATGATGATGGTGATGATGGTGATGATGATGATGGTGATGATGATACTGAGGAGGATAAGGAGGATGAGGAGGAGGACGAAGAGGAGGTAACAGCTGCGGCGCCTCGCCCCCAACCCGCCGCTGTCTCTGAGAGGCCGTCATACAGAAGCTGAAGAAGGAGAAGGCCACCATCAAGAAGGAGAAGGCCACCATCCAGAAGGAGAATGCCACCATCCGGATGACGAAGAAGGAGAAGGCCGTCATCCAGAAGACGCTCAAGCAGACGGCCGTCATCCAGAAGACGCCCACTGGGAAGGTCGCCATCCAGAGGACGCCCAAGACGGGCAGCTCCAAGAAGTTGATCGAGGACAATGTTGCCGTGGACAGCGAGCCCCTGGTCAGGAGCTGGAAGCACCCGATCATGGGGGACATCGTTGCTGTTTATGGGACCCACAAGAGTTACTCTCTTTTTTTCGATGCTGAGCAGAAGCGTCGTCTTTTCGTAGAGTGCAGCGCGTCGCATACCCCAGAGCACGCCGAGCTTCTCATGAAAATAATGAAGCAGTCTTGCTCGAAGAAGCTGAGCAAATCTTCCACTGTGCTGCTCCGTGCTCAGATGCTGGCAGCCGATCGGGATTGATCTATCAGTCGCAGCTTTTGAGTGTACAGTATCTGTGCTGTCAGCGTCTTTGCAGCGACGTGGCATGACATGTGTCGCGATTGGGGGCTGCGCAGGGATGCACGCTGCAGGCTCGGCAGACAATGCGCTTCGATTGCGAGTTGTCTGTACTGTGCACGTTCGGTGACATTTTGCATGTACGTATACGACTCTCAGAGTCTGAACATGCTATGCCTGAAGAGTAGGAGAGCTCTCAGAATGGATGTGGCGTGTACCACGATGCGCTCGGACTCATCGCCCGATGTCGAAAAAGTCTCAGGATCGTCGTACTGAGCCAGGAACTCCGATGTGCACCCTGCTAGCCTCAGGGTCGAGGAGGTATGTGTTCCAGATTTCTTGTAGAACTGGCAGTCAGGGCGCTGAAGAAGGAACGAATGTCGTTGGGAGGGCGATTTGTGTTCCTTACGTGTGTCACAGTCTCCTTAAGGTGTTCAGTAAGCTTTCGATTGAACGCCGAAGTTTAACGCATGGGAAAAGGGCCCCCGCTCCTTAATTAGGATTCCTTAGGTCAGCGCCCCGACTGCAGGAGATACGGATAGCAAGGTGGCGACACCACAAGCCAAGACAACGTCGATCGGTTTGGTAGCCCGTGCACCCTGTTCATGCCACACCCTCCCACCCCCCCACCCCTATAGAGCTCTCGTTCCAAAACGCGGGGGCATCGCAATTATATCAGCGTTCCTTTCCCGTGCTCATCATCATCATTCCTCTATTGAGCATGTCCTCCCTGCTCCTCCTCGCAGTCATCCGCGTCGCCATTGGGCACCCGCGGGGCCACACCTTCTAATGTCAACGTGCCAGCCATGATACCAGCTGGCACCATATTGCAACGTTGTGGGGTCGAATAGCTAGGCGTCCACTTGCCGTGCATAGTAATGCATAACATATGCGGTCGCACACCGAGGGGGGAATCAATCTAAGGTGCAGGTGAGACATGGGGGCAACAATACAAACTGTGGGCGTCAAGTAACTACAGGAACTCTGGCAATTTACTAACAATCGCCGAATCAAACAATATGCATGCATGAATCGCCCATTCATACCGACAATTATAAGCATATTGTCACGCATGGGCGATACATACGCAATGGGTTATGCAGTTTGTGAGTCCATAAATAGATATGCACATGCGTCGCAAATATTCGGAATGCAAGCACCTAATACTAAGTTTTGTGGATATTTCAGCGCCACGTCGCACATCACATGTGCATGTGAAATGTCGGCGACAAACGTTTGTCAAACGTTTGTCAAACGTTTGTCAAACGTTTGTCACAAACGACAAACGTTTGTCGTTTTTGACAAACGTTTGTCGTTCGAGACAAACGTTTGACAAACGTTTGACAAACGTTTGTCAAACGTTTGGTGCCTATTTTTCAATACTAAAATTATTGTTCAGACCTGGTAATTAGTGTTGCACGAACTAGCTAACATACGTGTCCATGTGTTATGAATTGAGTGGTTTGGCTATGCCCTAGTACCTACAATTAGGATTGTATTGTTAGGTGAGTGCGGCACACGTGCACGTATTTGTATCGTTGCGGCGTGAACCTCGCACACAACCCACTGCAACATATTCCCTCGACACGCTCGGAAAATATCACCTCGCACATTTCAGTGGCGGCGTGTTCGAGTTGATTTGGCTCCAGGCGGGGTCGCCGAGCATATCCTAGATTATACTCTCGGTGCGCTGGCAGATTCCGCCATGCCTCCAAAGGGCTCGAAACGGGGTGCTCCAGTGATCAAGGTTCGCTTTGGGTTTAGTTGTGACCAGTTGGATTGTGCGGCAGGCGTTGCGAGTTGTCCCTTTAATGTTGCAAACTGGCGCAGCGGTTTGTGCGCCGCGTCAATTCGCAACTTGAAAAGGGGCTGCTCGCAGCGGCTGCCGCGCACATGATTTTGCAAAGCGTGCATCCTCCTTGCCAGGCCAACTTGAAGAAGACCGCCAAGACGCAAGCGCAGCCGAAGAAGCGGGGCGTCGCGCAGTCGAAGCAGAAGGGCAAGAGCAAGGGCAAGGGCGAGCTCACCTTGGCCGCGTACGGTGACAAGGGGACGTCTGGATATTATTGAAGCGGCTCGTAGAAGCACATTGAATAGAGAGCGGAGGGTGCACGCGGTTTTGAACAGTGTTATTGTTCCAGAGTTTCGTTCGAAGTAGATGAGTTGGGTCACCCAAGCCTCGTCACAATAACAGCCGTTCCATGCGATGCCCCGAAACCTCTCCGTCCAATAGTGCAGGTCGTCCCCCCCCCCCCCCCTTCTCGACGAATCTGATGTGCTGGACTGGGGGCCCGAACGGGCATCGGCGGCCCCGATGCCCTGCGCGCTAAGTCGTGCGCCACTCCATGCAATGATTATTTATGGTAACTCGTTAGCCCACCCCCCCTGTGCCCTGTCCACCTCTCCCGCCTCGTCGTCGCCTCATCGCGGTCATCCCGTCGTGCGCTTACATGCGAGATAACGTGAAACAAGCACCCATCGAGCAGGAAGTCCACCGCCGAGCTGGTCCGCAAGGCGGAGGGCAAGTCGTTCAACCAGAGGAAGGAGCTCTTCAGGCTTGCGTTTTGAATGTTCGCACCGTCGCGAGAGCGAGCGCGCGCTTGTGATCGGGCCACACGTGGGGATGATATCAGGGGCGCATGTAACGACGTGGATACTTAGCAGGTCGACGCGAACGAGGATGCGATGACTGCGATGTCTGCGATCGTCTTCGCCACCCTGTTGATGCCGTGGGGCATCAGCAGGGTGGCGAAGAAGATGTCCAACACAAGTGCCGATTAAACGACATCTAACGTATCCCCATCGTCCTCGTCGCCGCCCGTGTTGGCCCGACCGCAAGCGCGCGCTCGCGTGCGCTCGCGACGGTGCACCATCAAAGCGTCTTGTCAGGCAATATGGCGACGGGGCCGATCCGAACCAGCTGCGCGCAATCTTTACAGCCGAGGAAGTGAAGCTCCTGCACAACCAATTCAGGACGGCCCGCAAAGACAACGATCGTGTCTCCACGGCCTTCGAGGAGGCCGACAAGTTGGGCGTGCGGGAGGGGAAGAACAAGGCGAAGCTCGGGTACGTGATGGCATGGCTCAAGGACGCATTCGGTGTTTGTTTGTAGGTTCCTCCCTGCCCCACCCATATCAACATCTTCCCATCCAACCATCTATCTGTGACACCTCGCACACCCGTCCAGCTGCCCCACCGAACCAACTCATCGAACCTATTATATCGATGTCTGCCTCAAGCGCATCCCTAAACCACCCGCCACCACGACTGACCACTTGCATCTACTTACCCAACCTCGCTTACTCTACGTCGGCCAATATCGTGCCACGGCATGCTCGCCTACCAAGCCAAATGCAATCGCCTTCCATGTCCAAGGGCATCCGTGCACACTCGCACGTAGCGTCGCAGTTGAACATCCCCTTGACGTGCAACTGTCTCCTTCCCCTGCGCGCCCCCCTCCTCTTCCTGGTCCGCGGGGGAACGCGATCCTGACTGCTAAACCCCTCGGAACCGTATCAGCTTGACAGCTCTAGCGGTTGCCCCCTGGGTGTCCCATCACGTCCTCATCCTTCTCTCGCCCCGCCCCCAAATGAATGGGCACGAGGGCCCTGGCAGATCTAGACCCGCGCGTGATCTCCGAAGCGCTCAGTTTAAACATCGCAGTTCTGCAGGACCCATCGATGCAGGAGACGTTCTGGGAGCTCTCGGTCAGCACCACGACCAGCGAGGGCATCAAGCGCAAGTCGGTCTGGAAGCCGTGGAAGCAGATGCTGGACAAATACGGCGAGGAGGAGGCGGAGGAGCGGCTGGAGGCTGGATCCATCAAGGTCGCACTGGATGCCAACTAACAAGAAGTTGCAAAACGAGGGGGGGGGGGACGGATGGGGGGGGGGCAAGACGGAGGAGGATGGACCACCTTCCACCCAACATCGTTCTAATGCACCCCCTCCTTCCATCGAGAGGGGGTGCCATTTCCCGTTGGCCAGTAGCGCGGGCTAAGTGCGACCCAGGCCATCCCGAGAGGAATCCGCGACGAAGGGGGGGGGGGCAAAGGAGGAGAAGGAGGAGGAGGGGGAGGAAAAGGAGGAGAGACGAGTCGGAGGAGGATGGACCATCTTCCTCCTCCAAATCCTTTCCGTCAACCCCACCCTCCTTCCATTTGGACGGGTTGGAGTCCTCGCTGACCTACAGCCCAGGCCCCAGGAGGGACCAGCGACGATGGGGGGGTGCGGAGGAGGAGGAGGAGGAGGACGACGAGGAGGAGGAGGAGAGACAAGAAGGATGAGGATGGACACCTTTCTCCTCCTCATCCTTTTTTGTCAGCCCCCCTCCTCCTTCCAGGGGGGGTAATTCTGGCTGGCCTACAGCCCAGGTCAGGCGCGACCCAGCCCATCCCAAGAGGAGGCAGTACCTCGACGTGGAGGACGAGCACGAGAAGTCGTTCAGGCGTGACAAGGTCGGCACCGGGCGCGGCCGGAAGGCAATTGACAACGACGAGTTCCACAACCTGTCGTCTGGCCTGGGGTCCGCCAAGATGGTCGAGGACATCCGCAGAGGATTGACTTGTTTAGTTGTTTCAGAATGCTTAGCGAGAGGTATGGCAACTGGTAGTGTCTGGCAGTACCCGAGGTAGTGTAACGAGCCCCACTGCAGCTGGCAGTGTCTGGGGTGCATGGAGAGGAGGGGCCAGCGCGATGCGTTGTTAGTAGCTGTTGGTAATGCACTGCCAGTTGCAGCGGGGCTATTGCTGCCACGCGTGCGCGAAGAGGGTAGGGGGTGTCGGGCATTGTGTATGTATATAAATATACAGATATACACATGTACCGACATCTACGGCACATGTGTTCACACACATCGTACATATTGTTTGTGTGTGGTGGTTGCACGCATGTGCAATGTGATGTATATGCACAGGTAGAAGTACATGCGCGCTTGCAAAGATATTTGGGAGCCACAGCCCGATCGGAAACAGAGAGAGATAGAGATATTGATAATATGAATATAGCTAGACATAGATATGTAAACATAATTGCATGTATGCGTATATGTAGGTGTAACTTGATACGTGCACATGGGGGGGGGGGCGGAGGGCGATACATAGAGAGAGAGAGAGAGAGAGAGAGAGAGAGAGAGAGAGAGAGAGAGAGAGAGAGAGAGAGAACGAGGGGAGGTGGTCGGGCGAGAGAGAGAGAGAGAGAGAACGCGAGAGAGGGCAAGATGGGAGAGTATTGAGAAGACCGCGACAGAGCTTAGCGTTGACGAAGGCGTAGCTGCGTTGTTTTGCTGCTGGGCTGGGGGAACTGCCCGCCCATCGTTCGCAAACCGATCGGTCCCTGGAAACCATGGTGCGCCATGTTGCACCACCTGAGAAAATTGCGCCAGGAGCTACGCTGCTGCTTGGACCGATGGCGACAGATAAAACATCTGGAGGCGATTTCCAGAACATGGGCTACGAGAGCAACGACGAGCATGATGATGAGCCCGAGGAGACAGGCAGTCAAAATCGCGGCCGCGGTCGCGGTCGCGGTCGCGGAGTTGCAGCGAAGCCGAAGGCGCGGATGGTTGTTTCCCGCCGTCGTTGTCATCATCTTTCTCCACCTCCGCATCCTCCGATTATTTCCTCCTGCTTCTCCGACTCGCCCCAACCCGCTTCCTCGCCCCCACCTCCTCGTACTCTCAACTCCCCCGCGCCAACGCGCGTGCACCCGCGCGCCCCCCTCTTCGTCCTGACTCCCCGTCGCCCCGCGCGTCCCCCCACCCCCCATGCCGCCATCGCCCACCGCCCTCCCTCCAACGCGTGTGTTCGTCCTGCTTCCTCCGCGCCCGCCCCCCACGCACCCCCTCCACCTCCCCCCCCCACTTGTTCGCCCCCTCCTTCACTGGGTTGGGCCTTCTGGACGGGCCACGGAGCCGTTTGCCACCGCTTTCCAGTGAGGCCAAGTCGGTCAAGATCTCCGACTGGCAGGACGTGCTTGCGATGGGCAAGCCGCAGATGATGAACTACCAGGTCGCCGTCGACACCATGTCGAACATGTACCTCGCCTCAACGGCGCCATGGCAGTTGCAAACATGTCGCATCCTGGCTGGCAGTCGTTCAGGGAATGCGCGTGCCCGTGGATGGTTTTTTTTTTTTCGCATGCGGTCTAAGCTGACCGTCGCGCGCCTCCTCGGGATTCCCGCCACGAATGCAACGGGCGCCCTCGTCGCCCATTTCGGCATTCCCCACGTGGCGGCCACGTGTTGCCCCGTGTTCCTTTTTTCCCAGCGTTTCGCCTAGGGGGTCAACTACATAGTTGGTGTACCCCAATGACGCGCCCTTCGGATCTACAAAAAAAGCGTGGAATGCCCCGCAGTTGTGCGGACCAGCCGATTTAGTTGTTGTAGTTTCGAAGGGCGCGTCAATTTCGGTGCGCATCAATTGTGCAATCGATCCCCTACTCGAGCTTTCACGTGGGTGGGCCCTCTCGCTCGCAGTGCGTTTCGCCTTCGCCCCAGGGCCTCGTGGAGAAGCTTCAGCAGGACATCAAGAAGGCTGCGAACAAGGTCAAGAAGGACCAGCTCGAGAAGGCCAAGAAGGCGCCAGTGCATCAACAAAAAAAGGATCCATCGGTCCTGCTCTCGGGCTGCCCCGCCCCCCCGCCCCCCCCCCCCCCCCCCCCCCCCCGCCCCCCCCCCCCCCCCCGCGGCTCTGGGCCCCCCCCCCCCCCCCACCCCCCCCCCCCCCCTCCCTTGCATCGTTCAGACGAGCCCCCCCCCCACCCTCCCCCCCCCCCCAAACCCGCAACAAGGTCACCCGAGACAGGAACACAAACACACCCACAAAGAAGGACGACCAAGGCCTAGACCCAAGTCATGGCACACGCCTTAACAAATAAAAAATGGACCACTAAAAACTGAGACCCGCGTCCCCACCTAGTACCCCAAATCGGAGCCAGAGACGCAGCATTACACCCGGAAAACAGAAACGGAATAAACGTGAATCACACAACTACCCCCCCTAACCCCCCCGCACTACCCAGCTGAGAATAGATGGGCGCGTGTTAAGGCGTTCCATTTAGCGCACAAGCCCCCCTCGGTGCCCCCCTGACTCGCCGATTCCCCCTAACTCCAACTCCGCCTCGCCCTCCACGAGCGCAGGTAGAAATATGGATATGACATGGGCAAGTGGGGTGCGTATACCCATCCTCTACCCACTTCCCACCGCTCCCCGTCCTCCCCCACGCCCTCCAACCCCAACCAGTACATGAACAGAAGGGACACGCATAGAAGGAGGAGCAAGCGTAGGGCAAGTACTGGTCACACACCCAGCAACCTACACCCTACGATCTAAGCCCTACGCCCTAAACGTTAGACTCTAAACCATTGTGCGTCGGCCCTGCAATTCGCAATTCGATGTCGTCTAATGCTCGAGCAGAGGGATCGCCCCATGGATTCTCGCGACACCCTGGGGGTAGGAGCGCACGAACTGGGGGCTATCCTTGCCGATGCCAGGTGCTCACGGACGTTCGCAAGAACCGCGACGTGCTCGGGGACTTGCAGACAGAGGAGAGCCCGTCGCTGGTGGGGGTGCAGAAGGCCCGCAACAACATGTACAATGCGTTCGCCGCCGTGAAGCAGCTGAAGATCGTTTCGTAGATGGTTGCAGGGAGATCAGGTTTCTGCACCCGTGAGTCGCTGCCGCTTGAGGGGCGTCATACGGATCTGGGCTCTGCTCGACATTGAGGTGATCATGACTGGGTAATACGTGCAATGCACGTGTATGTATATGTGTAGATGGTTACACACGTGTGGTGGTGTGTACGCTTCTCTGTGCACACGCACATGTATATCGCATGCGAGTATACGTATGTGTAGTACATACACATACATACGCGTGCACATATACTGATATATGTACACCTATATGTATGCATACATCTGTATGTGTGTACGTACGTCTGCATTCATGGTTATGTGTCTGTCTGCCTGTCATGTTACTGCTTGTTGCGCCGATCCGTGCGCGCTTTGCC